TTATGAAAAAAAAAAAAAAACATCAGATGTGAATAATAAGAAAAACTAAGATTCACCATTTATTTGCGGCAGATGACCGATTGCCATTTAAGCCCAACTTTGTGTTGATAGCGCAAGAAATTGAGGAGCTTCCTTACCACTTCATTTAAGAAATAATAATTGTTAAGGATTTAATTGTTGATATTGACGAAAAAGTAGGTGAATGTTAACTTCATAATTGGAAGATGATTTTTCTATTAACTAAATTATTAGTATTGCGTAGTTATTATAGAAATTTAAATTTCTATTATCAATCTTAATAATAACATTTTTAATATTATAAAATTATAAAATTTTTAAAATGTTTGAAGTTTAAACTAAATTATCATTTGCATTAAAATTAAAAAAGATGTAACTTTTTAAAGAAACACTAAGTTCTACTTACTTGAACCATGATTATGTACAACATGCATGTTAATTAGGGAAAAATGCATCTTCTTTAATTTTGGTAAAGATGACAATTTACTCCAAACATTTTAGAGGATTTATAATTTTATAATATTAAAAATCTTATTATTAAGATTGGTTATAAGAGTTCAAACCTTCATGACAACCAAATATTAGAATTGTTTTTTTTTTTTTCCTTCATATTAGATTAAAAACTTTCTTATTCCATTATATATATTTTTGGCTAGATTCTTATACCATTATATAAACTAGATTTTTCCAGAAATGTTCATGGTTCATTAATGGGTGAATTTATTGGGTAGTCATCCAACTTTATCAAAATCAACATTTTGGTTATTCAACTCATAACTCTAACAAAATAAATAGTCGCGTAGGATGTGACATGGCATTAACTAATGATGTGGCACTCATTGGCGAAACAAAAGGGGTGAAACCAAACAGTAGTCTAAAATTTTGGCTTGAACAACGCTAAGGATAGTCGCCCTTCACCACTCGCTCCGTCACTCTCCCCACCGTGTCGCCATGTAGCACCAATATCAGATCCCTAAACCGGAAACTGATTTCATCCGGTGGCTTACGAACTTTTTCCCTTTCTAATTTTAGAATGGATTTAAAGGGTTTTCAAAAGAACATCCTTAAAGGTAAAAATATGACATAAGGACCCGAACTTACATAAAATTCATAATTTTGGATCCAAACTTCAATGGCACTCAATTAAGGTCCCAAACTTCACAAAATTCTCAAATAAAGTCCCAATTGGACGGAAAAATTAACTTCCGTCAAATCGTCTACACACCGTTAATATTCCGTCACACCGTTAATGCTTGTCCTAGTTTTTTTTTTTTTTCCCT